AATCTTTACTGTAAATAGGTCCCAAATCAGCAAAGTATACTCAAATTTAACCATATATATGATTGCATTTAGGATGTGCTCCATTGAAGGTAGGAGAGACATTGCCCAAAGAACTCTCACAATTGCTATAATGACCACTCAGCTATAGCTGGTCACTAAATGTCACCACTGCTCCATTTAATTATACAACACCAGAAAATTTACATGATAGAGTGGAGGCTGAAGGAGTGCTCTACTAAATTTCCAGATGGTTTATTCCTACATCAGGTTCTCTGCAGCTTCAGAAAATGCATACAGACTCTAGAATTGCAAAGAGAGCTCTGGCTTTGTAAGGAATAAATACCAAGATGTACCACTATTTAATCAGACCTTCCAAAACACTCAAGAGAAATCCAGTGTCTCATTTAGCAGGTGAAATGTGATTTTCCTTTTCAGCCCATTTTATCAAAAATGAAAATACTAGTTTACATATTCAATAGCACTGCGCATTACCTAGTCCTGAAGCTGCTTCTGCCTAAATGTGAGGAGCGTAGTGTGCTTTATTGGGTCACTAGTACACAGCAAAAATACAGTTGATCTTTCTTGCATTACTTATTGATCAAATGTATTGATTCTACTAAACCAGCAGTTAGATCTTGATCTTGATCTTGTTTCCTTCCATTTTCCTTCATGTTTTACATCCTGTATCACAGATTTTACATCCCATCTATGTTTTCTCACTGCAGGATACAGGTACCTGCTCTTGATGATAATGGTCTGTACTCAGAATCCGCCTCAAGTCAGGAGAATAAAACCCAATATTATTCAGGCTTGGCAATAGGTTTGAGACTGGAAACCAAGAATTTGCAGGGGTTTTATTTTGTTTTGCTTTGCCTTTATTTAAGAGACCTTCATCGCTTTCATTAAGAAGAATAAATCTGCCACAAAGCATTTTGAAGTGCAACTTCCCAAGATTAGGTTCTGATTAGCACATTCTGGTTTTATAATAAGAAGGATTTTTGAACGCCTTTAGTTTTAACAAGTTTGCATCTTGCTCTTTTATGTTTCTTAGAGTTCAGTGGAAACCAACAGAGTGTTTGTTAGTGGCATGATCATGCTGGCATTACCTATTTGTCTGTCAACATAATGCTCCTACTGGCTGTTGGCCTGAAATCTGTAGTTAATCTGTCACAATCCTTTCAAAATTCTTCCATTCAAAGGCTGTTAAAAAGTACTTCATTTTTTCCAAACTCAGTGGGACTTTATATATACTTTTTTTTCCCAAGAAACCAAATACATTCTTCTCTAGTGTGATCTAGTTGCTTTTCAGAGGTATACAGAATCCATATCTCATAAATGGGTAACATTCCTATTTTCTGATAGTGGATATGTCTGCTGAAGTATTTGCACTGGATTTATTATCAAGCTTTGAGTAAGAAGATTAAACAGACAAGAGCAAAGAAACTTCAAAGGCTGACCAAACGTGCTTTGTGAGTTCTTAGTCCACTGATCTGTAATGCCTGCTTTTGCCTTCCTATCATGAGCAATGAAAAATAAACCAGTAGTGCATAATGTATTGTTTGATTGTAGTGGCTGAGCCCTAAATGCATTTGAGACGTGGGTGTACAATGCTTTTTTTCTTCAATATAGCAGCAGAGAATGGACTTCACTGTTATAGGGTTTTCTAATAAATATTTGGCTGAATTCAGATATACCGTAGAGCTCTTTTTAGATATTACTTGCAAAAGCTTTTTTATCAGACACAAATGAGGGAGAAAGTGTGTTAGACTTAAGCTAGATTTTGTTTGTTTGTTTGTTTGTTTGTTTTCCAAATTGTACTTAACTCTAATGTTTCTGCATGAAGAAAATCAGGTAGCAATAGAAAGTTGGTTCTTTCACAGAGTACAGGGTAGTAAAATAATCTATGATAACATTATATACAGTCAATCTGCTTTGCCATGTTATATTCTCAGTGTCAACTATCAATTAGATTTTGAGCTGCTAAGTATGGTTTTCAAATCTGTGGGGTTTATGAAGGAGATCTGTCTATCCAGATCCTACTTTCTGCAGAGTCTGAGTCCTTGAAGAGGGAAGTTATTCAAAAAACATAATATTTGCATACACAAAATATTCAATGCATTTAAAATGCTAAAAAGAGTGGATTATCAACAAAAGTCCTGTGATGTTATTCTTTCAAAGCCATGATAATTATATAGTATACCTGAGCACCCCAACTGGGGGTTTGGTATAGACAAGTACAGTATGTATGTACCCATGTACAGACAACATGAGAATAAGCTGCAGAACAGCATTAAGCCTGGGCATTTTGTGTATGTACACACAAGTTTAACCAAAATCTCTATTTATTGCATATCACAAAGCAGTAGTGCCCATGCACACCGACAACAGCCAAACCCAATACTGACTTGGAAGACTGAATGTGTTGGCTGTAATCATTAAGGCCTGACAGCACTACTGAGCCTCACCCAACATGCAGAAGGCAGTGCAGGATTGTGCCTTATAGACCATGTCACATTTCATTCAGTCTCTTGAGTCGGTGCTTCTGGCAGAGGGTTTATTCGAAAAGATTGATTCTTTCATAGGGAAGGTGGCAGCAATATGTTACAATCCTAGTTCAGGAAGAAAACAGGAAATGCAGAATACATTGTCAAATGTGACAGATGGTTTTATGTCAGTTGATTTCAAAACTACCACTGAAATGACGACTACTGGAAAGAGTAGGAGGCCTTCGAAGTGGCTGCAATAATTTAAAAAAATGAAATGTCTGTCAGGGAAAATAAGAGTGTATTTTACAGGAGAGAAAAATCTTGAGCCTTAAAAACTCAATGAGACTTAATTACGCAGAATGCTATCATCAATAGGAGCACCCTTTAGGCATCTTATCTGATATCTGTACAAATCAAGCAACTGTGCAAGTCATATATCATTGCAAAAAATGGTATTCTGACCTGCACAATAGACATGGTTTCCAAATTATAGAGGTTGAAGCAGCTGCATTTCATCAGATAACAGTGTCAGGCCATATTAGTCCTGTTACTCAGAAAATCCAAGAACAAAATGAAAGTACAACTCAGGATGAGTGATTTAAGCAGCAATTCAACCAATGCAGCAAAACTTTCAACATTGCTAATGACACTGTTGCAAAAGATTTCTGTCTGTGCTAGGACATACAAAAGAAGAACAGTAATTTGAAATATTTCAGAAAATGAAGATATCAGTGTTCTTTGTGAGAATCATATTGCAGCTTACATAGATGGTGTCAAGCAATGTCTTTTAAGAACTGAGGTCAGGTAGGACTGCTCTTGAGAACTGCATCTTATGCCTGTTGGCAGCACTGTTTAACACACAATCTAGATCCTTATGCTGTGAAAATATTTGAAAATCCTGTCTCACACTGTTCATGAAGCAGATAAAGTAGTGACATATATCAGGTGTGGACTAATAAATGATTTTATCTTACTCTGTGACACCCTGAGCCAATGTGATTTTTGCTTGGGAAATTGACCATAGGATTGAACTAGAGTTTTCGTGAATGATTGATCGGCTATCATTCCTTGCTGGTGCTTTCAATAATTACTCTTCCATGGCATGCTTAGCTTACTGGATATTTAAATTGTGAGCCCCCCTGGGAGACTATAACAATTCTTTTTATGCTGTAAATGCATTTACTAGCCT